TTTTCAGGAATATTCAGTTACTTAAAAAAGAATTGTAAAAATTAGTGTTGAATAATTCTATTTCCTATCAGAACTATAACTTAATTGACTTCTTAATAACAGTGTATGAACCATAGCTTATATGTTTTTGCAGTCACTATTGGAAAATCTGGTGTTGTTAATATTTTAAACATGAGAAAGGTATGTAAAAAAGTGTGACGCTTTTCATCTAAGTTAGTATGTGATATTTGATATTCATTCAGTCATTACAAATGTTATTACAAAGAATTAGAAAAATGGAACTAACAGCTGCCTCACTTGGTGCTCAGCATCAAGAGGTTAGTGTTAGGACTTGTCGGCCTGGTGTCAGGATAACGTTATTGGATGGGACATCATGCTAAATGTCTGCGGCATGATGCCCCAGTGCTAGACATCACTATAAACTGCCACACTGCAGACATCATAGCAATATGACTGAAAAATTGTTAAAGCTATGTTAAAAATCCAAATCACACACATGCACAGACACACACACATACATACACAAATGGCAATGCATCTTAATACATCCTCAGGCTTAATTAATAAAACATATAACTACAATATACAGTGTACATTAACAAAACATGAATACAATATACAGTGTACATTAACAAAACATAAATACAATATACAGTGTACATTAACAAAACATAAATACTATATACAGTGTACATTAACAAAACATAAATACAATATACAATGTACATTAACAAAACATAAATACAATATACAGTGTACATTAACAAAACATAAATACAATATACAGTGTACATTAACAAAACATGAATACAATATACAGTGTACATTATCAAAACATATAAATACAATATACAGAGTATATATACAAGCTCTCAAGAATGGAAAGGTGTTGTTAAAGTATACCAGTCTTTTCTGATACAACTGGAAGGAATTTATGGTGACAGTGCTCACCAAAGTCCCATTTAAAATGATAGGACTTGTACAGTAAATGGAGGAGACTGGCCAACAATGCAAGCTCACAGCTGTAAGTATACATGTTAATACAATAGCCATGGCTTTCATGCCATACTGATTGGTTTACTATAATGTGTATCATGTCCTTCTGGATTAATAGGTACTGGCTGGTTAGAACTTAGCCAGGATACCAGATTGTGTTATAATGCACAGTACTAACACAGTGCAAATCACCCATAGTGTCACTTAAATCCTTGTTTATTCCCCAAAATACAAAATGCAAATTTTCCTTTATTTATTCTCTTTACCAGATCGCATTGTTCCAGATCAATTTCAGCTAGATGAGAATAGCTGTTTCATTTTCTTACTAGAAAGTGATGTAATCTTCATGAAAGATGTTTGAATGTATAAGGCACATAACTAGCATAATACAGTTATTTTAAAGCACTATTTCTGAAACTTCTTTATTGTGTTTTGGAGATATTATTTAGATTAGTGCTAATGATTCATTATGTACTTATACTTCAGTGCATGTTAAGTTAAAATCTTCAATGTAGATTCAGTGATGTCATTATGTAAATGTGCTGTCTATGCAAGCTTTGAACAAAACACTATTGGTGTTATCATACTGGGATCACATTTTAATGAGTTAAGTATCTACACTTTCAAGGCAAAATAAAAATGTAATTACAGGTGCACTGATACCAAATTCTAATGCAGTAATATTTATACAAACAAAAATGAACTAGAGTCAAAAGAGAGAGGTTACTGTTATTTATTTGTACAGCAACCCACTAATGCTCAATTCTTGTCATTGTCTGATCAAATTATACATTTCAGAATTAGAAAAATGAGAGAAAAAATTAAATAAAATTATAGTCTTTTAAAACAAATTATATTAATTTTTTAACATTTTCATGTAATAGTTCATGATGATAGTCCCTTAACAGTCATTCCAATTGATAAAATACATCAGTTGATTAGTAGAAATGACAAACCTGTCCTAAGATTTATACTTCATGAAAAAGTTTTGCTATAATTTCATGTCCCAATATTTACTGGACATAAACAATTAAAAGGGTGTCCCAAGACTTACAGTGTTCCAACATTTACATTTATAATAGTAATATGGTATGCTGTCCATTTATTAATTAGGTTTAATGCAATATGCATCCCATCTATTGGCTTTTGCATCGGTTTTGATATATATTATTATAATTCTAGTCCAGACAGGGATCATTATTTTAGTAATTAGTATTTCCTGGATCAGACAATTAAAGTTTAAATGAGAATAGTGATCAAGTTTGTCCTTAAAGTGGAAAATCATCTGGAGAGCTTTTCAGTCCACATTGTCACCTTTGAAATGTTGATTTTGTATGAATAACATGTTTTGCAAAAACTTTGCCATGTGTCTGTCAGAGAAAGTTGTAACATCTTTGGTTAAACAAATGTATCACATATCTTTTAGTATAATAGTAGTTTGTCTTGCAGTGGTCATCACCTGAATACTTACTAAATAGAGTACTTACTGCTCTATGTAGGTGTCATCACTTCAGTACTACAGAGCACTTACTGTTGTCTTGTAGGGGTCATCACTTGAATATTAATGAGCACTTTCTCTTGTCTTGTAGGGTTCATTACTTGAATGCTAAAGAGTACCTACTGTTGTCTTGTAGGGGTCATCACTTGAATATTAATGAGCACTTTCTCTTGTCTTGTAGGGTTCATTACTTGAATGCTAAAGAGTACCTACTGTTGTCTTGTAGGGGTCATCATTTGAATATTAATGAGCACTTTCTCTTGTCTTGTAGGGTTCATTACTTGAATGCTAAAGAGTACCTACTTTTGTCTTGTAGGGGTCATCACTTGAATATTAATGAGCACTTTCTCTTGTCTTGTAGGGTTCATTACTTGAATGCTAAAGAGTACCTACTGTTGTATTGTAGGGGTCATCACTTGAATATTAAAGAGTACATAATGTTGTCTTGTAGGGGTCATCACTTGAATATTAAAGAGTACCTACTGTTGTCTTATGGGGGTCATCACTTGAATATTAAAGAGTACTTTCTCTTGTCTTGTAGGGGTCATCACTTAAATGCTAAAGAGTACCTACTGTTGTATTGTAGGGGTCATCACTTGAATATTAAAAAGCACTTACTCTTGTTTTATAGTGGTCATCAGTACTACGGAGCACTTATTGTCTTGTAGGGGTCATCACTTGGATACTAAAGAGTACTTTTGTCTTTTAAGGGTCATTATTTGAATAATAAAGAATACTTAATCATTGTCTTGTAAGGATCATCACTTAAGTACTACAAAGCACTTCCTATTGTCATGTTTGGGTCATCAATTGAAACTAGAATACATACTATTATTATGTTATCAGAATTCTTCAGATATAAACAGGCAGTGAAGTTGCATGTAATGAAGTTTCATTTGCATGCAGTGAAGATTCAAGGAAAGTAAATTTGCATGCAGTGAAGTTTCATGAAGTTTCATTTGATTGCAGTGAAGTTTCATTAGCATGCAGTGAAGTTTCATTAGCATGCAGTGAAGTTTTATTTGCATGCAGTGAAGTTTCATTAGCATGTAATGAAGTTTCATTTGCATGCAGTGAAGTTTCATTAGCATGTAATGAAGTTTCATTTGCATGTAATGAAGTTTTATTTGCATGTAATGAAGTTTCATTTGCATGTAATGAAGTTTTATTTGCATGTAATGAAGTTTTATTTGCATGTAATGAAGTTTTATTTGCATGTAATGAAGTTTTATTTGCATGCAGTGAAGTTTTATTTGCATGTAATGAAGTTTTATTTGCATGCAGTGAAGTTTTATTTGCATGCAGTGAAGTTTTATTTGCATGCAGTGAAGTTTAATTAGCATTCAGAGAAATTTCAATTGCATACAGGAAAGTTTCATTTACATGTGGTAAAGTTTCATTTGCATACAGTGAAATTTCATTTGCTTGAAGTGAAGTTTCATTTGTATGCAGTTTCAATTGCATACAGTGAAATTTCATTTGCTTGAAGTGAAGTTTCATTTGTATGCAGTTTCATTTGCATACAGTGAAATTTCATTTGCTTGAAGTGAAGTTTCATTTGTATGCAGTTTCATTTGCATACAGTGAAATTTCATTTGCTTGAAGTGAAGTTTCATTTGTATGCAGTTTCATTTGCATACAGTGAAATTTCATTTGCTTGAAGTGAAGTTTCATTTGTATGCAGTTTCATTTGCATACAGTGAAATTTCATTTGCTTGAAGTGAAGTTTCATTTGTATTACAACAGATTAATTTGCATTTATTCTGTTTTACCAAGTTACCAAAATACCCAGGTATATTTTTTAAAGTATAAATTGGTGGTGAATATAATTATTAGCAGCGTTTTTCTCAAAATGATTTTTTAATTTGGTAATTATTTTGTTTTGGTATATGGGAATGGATGTTTATTTTTTTAAGTTTTTATCTTTCCAAATGAGAATAGATGTTTTTTTTGCTTCATTATTCTTTTTTTTTACATATGGATTGTATTTTAATTTTGTTTACACTAGATTGTGAAAGAGCTGATTAAAATACCATTATGAATGAATAATTGTATAATATTTAATTTGTGTTCCTATTTACTGTTTACTTTAATTTTCAGAGAACTTAATCCCTGTTATACAGTAATACAATTCTTGTCTTTGTTGTCAGGTTACGAGAAGCGGTCAATGCACTACTGGACACCATAAGAGAATCTTTTGACAATGAAGTTACTCCTTACTTTGCACTGGTCATATGTCTTTGGGGTGAGTCTTTCTTTGCACTGTTTATATGTCTTTGGGGTGAGTTTTTCTTTGCACTGGTCATATGTCTTTGGAGTGAATCTTACTTTGCACTGGTCATATGTCTTTGGGGTGAGTCTTACTTTGCACTGGTCATATTTCTCTGGGGTAAGTCTTACTATGCACTAGTCAAGTCTTTGGGGTAAGTCATACTTTGCATTGGTCGTATATCTCTGGGGTAAGCTTTTAAACATAATGAAACTAACTATAATTTATGAATCAACAGCTTTGCTGGCCTAAGTGGTTAGAGTGTCTGCCTCGGATGCAGGAGGTTGTGGGTTCAATCCCCGTTCAAGTCAAACCAAAGACTTAAAGAAATGATACTAACAGCTTCCTCGCTTGACACTCAACATAAAGAGATTAGTGTTAGGACTGGTATGCCTAATGTCAGGATAATGTGACTGGGTTGGACATCATGCTACATGTCTGCGGCATGATGCCCCAGTGCTAGACATCACTTTAAACTGCCACACCGCAGACATCATAGCGACATGACTGAAAAATTGTTAAAGCTACATTAAAAATCATAATCACATCACATTACATAATTTATGAATCACATCTGATATATGAGTAGATCATAGGAATTGTGTTTTTAATCAAATTATACTTTATTCCTGTTTTTATGGAGTAGATCATATGTATTGTCTTTTAAATTAAATTGTACCTTATGTCTACATTTACAGAGTAGATCATATGTATTGTGTTTTAAATCAAATTACACTTGCAGGTTGTGTTTACAAAGTGCCTATCACTGCATTAAAATTACAGTAGAACCTGTCTTGAAAGACCACCCCTTTTGCCAACAAAAAGTGATCTCTCAAAACAGGAGGTCTGTCATTACAGGTCTTAACACTACATAATTATTGTATCTATACATTGAGAATGTGATCTCTCTAGACAAGTGCTCTTTCAAGGCTGTGGTCTTACAAGACAGGTTTTAGTGTATCTCATAGTTAACTTCTTGTCACAAGTTTTTAAATTAAGTTTTGTATTCAGTTTTATTCCTCAGTTTCCTTTTCATGCTAAGTCTTTTATTTTTATAGGCATTTTCTTTTTTAATGTTAGGATAATTTTCATACCCCATTGGTTGTGAAGACTATTATTGGCTATATTTCTATGTGTAGTTTTCAAACTTCATCTTGAGAAACATTATCATTGAAAGTAAATCACTCAATATAAATTTAGATAAATATTTTCTTGCATGCACAAACAATGAAACTTCTAACTTCCAAAATCAAATTTTTTTGGTACAGATATTGAGGTATTAATTCATCTCATATTTGATTTCAATACTTTTTCTTAATTCTGAGGAGCAGTGATAGTTTAATTGGAATAGTGTTGATTCCAAGGGTTGCATGTTTGATACCCACCCAGGCCTACCTGGGTTGGCTGCCTCAGTGATCCCTTAGGAAAAAGAACTTTGCTCGCATTTCCTTGGCATGATATTGCCGATAATATGTTAACGGTGTCATTAAATCCAAAAACAACCAACATGAGCCTTGTTCTGATAACCCTGTTGACGTTACTGACACATTTGTATATCCTTTGAAATGGTGGAAGCTATGGTTTGTCCTTTTTTTCTATATTGCATAGTAATTTCTTAATATATCAGGCACAATATTTTTGGAGATCTGGAAGCGGCATAATGCAAGACTTGCTTATGAGTGGGACGTGGATGAGTTTGAGGCACAAGAGCCGGACAGGCCTCAGTTCTTTGGAACTAAAGTTAAACAGGTACTTGATACAAAAAATATATATTAAGGACTTCCTGTCTCATAATCACAGCAGACTTATGCTTTCTGTTTCAAAGTCTTTAAATCCATCATTCATTGTGCTTCTGTGTTTTTATCATCTTTCAAATGATCATAAACTCTATTCCATCGTTTAATAAAATTTGTGTATACTATAGATATATAATGTTGTCTACATTTGAACGCAGTGGTTGATTTGATCCATGTGTTTATTGTTTGTATATACTGAAGACATAGTGTTTTCTACATTTGAAATACTAGTTTATTTCATTAGTGAGCTCTTTTGATTTCTCTGAAATGTTAGAATATTTGGAGATTTTATTTTGAGTATGATGCTAAATTGAAGTTGATTTTAGGTAAAAGGTTTTTGATTACATTCAATAATGGATAATTACTAGTATAGTGTTTGTGATCAAATATGGTAATTGATATTGCTAAGTATTGAGTTTGTGATTAAATACAGCAATGGATAATGCTTATTAGAGTTTGTGATCAATTTGGATAGAGTTTAATATAAGGTTTTTGTTTACATACAGTCCTGAATATTGCTCAGTATATGGTTTGGGTGATCACCTACAATTTGGAAGGTCTTTAATCACATACAGTCATGGATATTTCTTAGTATTGTGTTTTGTGATTACATACAATATTGAATAATTCTTAGCACAGTGTATGTGATTACATAGTCTTGGATAATTGTTAGTACAGTGTTGTAATCACATACAATCTTGAATATACAGTGTTTATGATCATATACAATCTTAGATAATTGTTAGTACAGTGTTGTAATCACATACATTCTTGAATTTACAGTGTTTGTGATCATATACAATCTTAGATAATTGTTAGTACAGTGTTGTGATTGCATACAATCTTGAATAATTATTAGTACAGTGTTTGTGATCACATCCTGTCTTGAATAATTCTTAGAATAGTGCTTGTGATCACAAAGAATTTAAATAATTCTTAGTACAGTGTTGTGATTACATACAAATCTTGGATAATTTTTTGAACATGGTTTGTGATTACAGACAATTTGGTGAATTCCCGGTACTGTTTGTGATTAGAGAAAATTTTGTGAATTCTTGGTACAGTGTTGTGATGTACATACAATTTGGATAAATCTTAGCACAGTGTCTGTATTCACATACAATTTGGATAATTCTTAGTATAGTGTTTGTGAATACAGTCTTGGATAATTCTTATTACAGTGTTGTGATAACATACATTCTTGGATAATTCTTAGTAGAGTGTCATCATGTACAATTTAGATTTTCTTTGTACAGTGTTCTGATCATAAACAATATGGATAATTCTTAGCACAATGTTTGTAATTACAGAAAATTTGGGCTGTACAGAAATTATAATTATAAACAATTCGATAATTCTAAGTACAGTGTTGTGAGTATAGACAATTTGGATAACTCTTAGTACAGTGTTTGTGATTACCGGCAGTTTGGATAATTCATAGTACAGTGTTTGTGATTACCGACAGTTTGGATAATTCATAGTACAGTGTTTGTGATTACCGACAGTTTGGATAATTCATAGTACGGTGATTGTGATCAAAGATAGTTTGGGATAATTCTATGTACAGTATTTGTGATTATAGACAATTTGATGAATTGTTTGTACAGTGTTGTGTTTACAATTTGGATAATTCTTAGTACAGTGTTGTGATCAAAGATAGTTTGGGATAATTCTATGTACAGTATTTGTGATTATAGACAATTGATGAATTGTTTGTACAGTGTTGTGTTTACAATTTGGATAATTCTTAGTACAGTGTTGTGATCAAAGATAGTTTGGGATAATTCTATGTACAGTATTTGTGATTATAGACAATTTGATGAATTGTTTGTACAGTGTTGTGTTTACAATTTGGATAATTCTTAGTACAGTGTTGTGATCAAAGATAGTTTGGGATAATTCTATGTACAGTATTTGTGATTATAGACAATTTGATGAATTGTTTGTACAGTGTTGTGTTTACAATTTGGATAATTCTTAGTACAGTGTTGTGATCACAGACAATTTGGATAATTCTTTGTACAGTGTTTTTGATTACAGACAATTTAGATCATTCTTATTACTCTGTTGTGATTACATGCAATCTAGGATAATTCTTACTATAGTGTTTGTGATCACAGACAATTTGGATAATTCTTTATACTGAGTTTTTGATTACAATTTAGATCATTCTTAGTACTCTGTTGTGATTACATGCAATCTAGGATAATTCTTAGTACAGTGTTGTGATCACATACAATTTTGATAGTTCTTAGTACATTGTGATGATTACAAACAATTTGTATATTCTTAGTACAGTGTTGTGATGACAGACAATTTGGATAATTCTTAGTTCAGTGTTGTGATGACAATTTGGATATTTTTAGTACAGTGTTGTGATGACAGACAATTTAGACATTTTTAGTACAGTGTTGTGATTACAGACAATTTGGATAATTCTTAGTTCAGTGTTGTGATGACAATTTGGATATTTTTAGTACAGTGTTGTGATGACAGACAATTTAGACATTTTTAGTACAGTGTTGTGATGACAGACAATTTGGATAATTCTTAGTTCAGTGTTGTGATTACAGACAATTTAGATATTTTTAGTACAGTGTTGTGATGACAGACAATTTAGATATTTTTAGTACAATGTTGTAATTACAGACAATTTGGATAATTCTTAGTTCAGTGTTGTGATGACAGACAATTTGGATATTTTTAGTACAGTGTTGTGATGACAGACAATTTAGATATTTTTAGTACAGTGTTGTGATTACAGACAATTTGGATAATTCTTAGTTCAGTGTTGTGATGACAGACAATTTGGATATTTTTAGTACAGTGTTGTGATTACAGACAATTTGGATATTTTTAGTACAGTGTTGTGATGACAGACAATTTGGATATTTTTAGATTTTTAGTACAGTGTTGTGATTACAATTTGGATAATTCTTAGTACAGAGTTGTGATTACATACAGTTTAGATAATTCTTAGAGCTGTGTTTGTCATTAAAAACAGTTTGGATAATTCTTAGTGGTGATTACATACAATTTAGATAGTTTTAGTACAGTGTTTTTGATTACAGATGATTTAGATAATTCTTTGTACAGTGTTTTTGATCAACTAGAATCTTTGATATTCTTAGTACAGTGTTTTTGGTCTTAGACAATCTTGGAAAGTTCTTAGTACTGTGTTGTGATTACATTCAGTTTGGATAATTCTTAGTACAGTGTTTGTCATTAAAAGCAATTTGGATAATTCTTAGTACAGTGTTGTGATTACAGATAATTTAGATAGTATTATCAATTGATTTTTTATAGATTGTGTAAGTCAGCACATCTTTTAATCTGTAAAAGCTTGTCTTAAGGGTAGCAAAAGATCTAATAATGTAGACATTATAAAAACTACTGTATAATTGTACTAGGTTTTAAGTCAGGTGCATCTGCAAACAGCGTAGACCCTAAACTGCCATTGAATGATACACCAGATGTTAGTCTATGCACTTTTAAGTTGGACTTATAAGCAGAAA